AATCTGAAATTTTGATGATTTTATAAAATTTGTAAAATTATATTATTAAATTAAATTATCCAGATTCTATCCGTATTGTCCAGAATATATTTAGATAATTAATTTTTAAGAATTAAAAAAATATTAAATTAGATTAACTATATTGATGGTGAATAGATTTATTAAAAAAATTATTTTTATTTCAATGAATATAAAAAATAAAAAGTTTGAATCTAAACTGTTATGATTTCACCACGGGTGATGTGTGATAGTGTTCATCCTTTAATGAGTATCAAGATAGTCTAAATTGAATATTAAATATAATTTTTATAAACTTTTCACTTTTGCAAATGCAATATTAAAACATTTAAAAATTATTTTAAAATTGTTTGGGTTAAAATATGAAACGTTGCTCGATAGGTCACAAAGTTATTTGGATTGAGCAACTAAAGATTCAGGCCCAATCCAAATGAAAGGGCTGGCCTCGAGCTTAATAGAAGGCCACAATAAGATAAACATACTGAAATCCTGCCAGTTACAAATATTGGACTGTGGGCACATAAAGACACGATCCCAAGTGATTTTGGAATCCACGGACATCATGCCTAAGTATCTTAGTGAGACGGACTGATTATCAAAAATGGAGAACACTGAGTAAGGATCGTGCCATGAGTCTCGTGGGATCTTTGATTCTTGAGTAGATCGTTCTAGGTCTTAAGGGAGAGGCTATTATTACTTTGACACTATAAATAGGATACAAAAATACAAAAGGAGAGTCAACATTCAATAAAGACTCGTACTTTGCACTCTTAGCCTTTTAGTTTTAACAATTAGTTTTTACATTTAATTTAAACTTGTAATCCTTCACATTTCAATAAAAATAAAAAATACTTGTTCTATTAAGTCTTGCGTATCTTTTACATTCAAGTAAAGTGTGGTAAGGGAACTCAGTACCCTTTTTGTTGTTAATTGAGACTCAATGTTTCTGGCATATCTGATTATTTGTTGTTCACATGCAAAAAAAAAAAAAAAACGCAAATATTATTTCAAGATAAAATGAAAAGTCAAAATGACCCATGGAAATGATGAGCACGCGGTGGTCGTCACCAAACGCGTATCCATCTTTGAAGGGAGTTTTGTAATGTCTCCTAATTTCATCACATTTTAACCAACTCTATCGTATCATTAAAAGATAGCCAATTTTAATTAAATATTATCATAGTGGAAACGACTCAACCACAGTTAAAATTTTAAACTGGTTGATATGTACGGACAATATTATAATATTAGACGAATTCATGGGCAACCAGGATTCTCACAACATAAGTATATTAAATAAAGACATAGATATGTAGATCTGTCTTTGTCGCTGGTATGAAGGCAAATGCATGCAACTACGGAAAACTGGAACAGTGGAAGACATGACAATAATTAATAAGGTTGAATCTTTAATAGTAAATCCTGATAATCACCTTGTGCTAAAATTTTATTTTATTTATCATAACTCAAATCAACTATATCTAACATTTATATTATAGTCAATGGATTAGAATTGCCTGGGATTATACTTGACCATAGGGGGCTGGACATTTAGACTTGACGGACTACAAAGAAAAAGTCCAAGTAATTAATGAGTATATATACTTCCTTCATTCAAAAATATAAAGCATTTTTTAAAGAGTTAAATGTTTAAAAATGTAAGGCATTTTTAGTTTTTTCAGGTATAATTATTACCTTTTTTTTGAAAGTGTCCCTATTAATAATGATTTTATATTTATTGTAAGGTGTTTAATAGGAATAAATATAGAAAGATAGGGTTAGTTAGAAAGTAGGTAACTACTTTATTGTGAAGTGAGATTTAATTAAAAATGTCTTATATTTTTTAACAGAGGGAGTACACTTTCTTCAAACAATTAACGACAACTTTTATTTTCTTTGTTTATTTTTGGTTGCCAATTCAACTGGTGTGAACATTAGCATGGAACTGTAGAATTTGCACAGAGAGCAAAACGAACGATCAAAAACGTTGGACCAATTAATGTTGTATAAAAAAAAAAAAGCAAAAAGAAAGAACCAGTGAAAGGAAATGAACATGAAGTATAGAGAAACTGCAATCATAATGACGAGATTAATGAATCCATTCTCTACATGAATGTCAAATATTATTCTCACCTCGGCAAATTTCATTTCATGTATAGAAAATAATATCATGAGAAAGTATAGTGAATTCTTGCAAGACCAACAAAGCAACATTATTATTAGATTATAGGACAATTTCACCTTTAAACTATAAGTCCCGAAACATATGCGATCCTAACCATATTTCTTTGTGTAATATTTCCTTTTGAACTTTTAAAAATAATGTAATATAACCCTTACTGTTAACAAATACAATATTAATTTTCACTATTAGTTGGCCAAAAAATGACATAAAAGGACCAAGAAGATTTATTTGGTCCTTCTCTCTAATTTTTTGTCCTTGTCTAATATTTTCTGGGTATTTTTCTATTATTTTATAATCAACTAATGGTTAAAGTTAATTTTTATTAATGGTAAGGACAAAATTGTACTGTTTTTAAAAGTTGAAGAGAAATATTGTATCAAAAATGAATTTAAAGCCACATATATGGTGCTCCTTGACTAATAGTTTAAAGATGAAATTGCCCTTTAACCCATTATTATTTGCCCTAAATTTTTTGTAAATTCATGAGTCTACATAATGGCATGCTAATTGTTTGATTTCTTAGTAGTTTTGGTTGTAATATGGGTAATTTTTTTATTTTTCAATTAAAAAAGAATCACGTGACATGCGGATCCAGATCATTGGCATTAAAAATTCAAGGATCATGTGTAAGCAAATAGTGGTAAACTACATTTTTTTTTTTGTAAATGTAAACTACATATTTTCTCTCAATATCTATTATTGTTTTAGCCACGAATTAGTGGGATTAAATTAAATTTAAGAACAAGTAGTCTAATTCAACTTGCTGGTGTGAAGTGTGAACATTGACCTTGCACCCACGACAAAAATGCTCAAACTTGAATCCTTTAATTCTGGTCTAGAATCGCCAACGAAATTTAACTTCAAAATAAAAAACAAAATTAGATGTGAGCACATAGGGGTACAAGACTTTCAGGGCAAGTTTGGTTTAAAAAAAAAATTTAAACAATTCGTTTGAACAAGTGTTTATTTGAATTTAATTATTTCTAAAACTGTTCTATTTCTTTGAAGAAAACAAAAATCAAGAAATGAAATCATTTTGAATTAAATATTAATGAAAATGAAAAATGATAGTCTGTCAGATTTCTGCTTCAGTAATTTTGTTTTTTTTGTTTTTTGAATTATACGTAGTTTGTACAAGAACTAGGAAATGCAGGTGCGATAAATGGGATTTAGAAAGAAATTCACTTATTTCGTCTCTTATGGGATTAGAGGTATTATTTAGGTCTAATGGTAAAGCTACATATTTGAGGAATGCACATGCACTCCTCTTTTTGGGAAAATTATATGAAGGTGATATAATTTTTTGTATTTTGATCCTTCTAGTCATAAGATTTTTCACCCCTACAAATTTAGATCATTTTCAATATACATTTTAACTAATTTAATAATACTAGATAATTAATTTGAGACTTCTATTATTGATATGCATAACAATATTTAATTTTAAAGACATATATATCTGCTAGTTTATTTTTCAAAAAGTTAACAATAATTTTACATATTGCCATTGCAAATAGTTAAAAAAACTTCATTTTTGGCTCTAGAGATCACGAAAAATAGATGATACTGTCAAAATAATAATTTAGTATGGCTATAATAAATTTTTTTTAATAACATTGACAATAAAATTATGGGTAAAAAAGTAAATTGGCTCCCAAACTAAGGTTTGAATTCTTTTTGGAATAAGTGTCAACATTTAGTGTTTAATCATATTTCGAATATAATTTTTTCTAATTAGAGAATACGTGTATGCAATCAAAAAACCCTTGTTATTCTTTTGCAAAATTTTTATTTTGAAATGTTATTATAAAAATCTAATTTTAAAATGTTAACATTCACATAAAAAATATGCTTTATTTTTTTAACAAAATAAGAAAAGGTAAATATAACAAAAATTATTGTAAAAAATGGATGAAAGAAAAACTATTGAATTTTTTTTTTAAAAAAAGTATGATGGCTTCACAATATTTATTAATTTCACTGTTATATGAACAGTGAAATTTATTGTATTTTATTATACACTCCATTTGTTTGCGGATTAATGCACTTTTATTTAAATATTACTCTTTGCAAAGTTATATATGAATATTTTGTATATTTTAATTATATTATGTTGTTTTAATCATGATTGGGTTGATTATAGTTCAATGACAACTGGATCACTAACCTCTGAACTATTACCTATATGGCTAATTTGATTTTTAGCACTTCCGAGTAGACCACTAAATTATAAATTAAATTAATAATTTCAATTTTATAATATAAAATTCAATTAATAGAAACACATTTTAGAATGTTGAGAGATTTTTAACTACGTACTAAATTTGAATGCCTGAATCCTTGAAATTTAACCCGGTCTAGATAATCCTTAACAATATTTTAATATGATAAAATTACACAATACATACATGATCCATATATATATAAATAACATTCAAGTGTGTGCGAAGCTTTGAACATTGGGGACGGGACTTTAATTTGGACTTTACTTCTCAAACAGTCAATTAGTTTTCCTGTGTGTGTGTGTTTCTGCGTATGTGTGTGACACACATGACTTACGATTTCTGACTTTTTAAACAACTAATGACATCTGATATTGACTTGTCTTTCTTTATTTGTGGTTGCCCAATTCAACATGTGTGAACATTAATCGCAGAACTTTACAGTGACCAAATTGCTGAAAGAAACTTGAAAAAGAAAGGGCAATAAATATTAAGGCATGTCCTTGAATCCATCTGATTGCTTCAAATATAAATATATTCTCTTATTTTGCTCCTTATCACATCTCAACTTTAGTTCACATTCAGCCATCTTCACTTTCACTGAGATTCTAATCAAAGAGAAGTCATGGAAGCAAAGCCTTCATCTTACAAGTCAGCTTTCTTTTCCTAAGTAACTTTCTTTTCTATTCTTTCACTTTGTTTCAGCGATCCTTTTCTGCTTCTTTTCATTGTTTGTAGTAAATTACTAGCTGGACATCAGTTGCTTTTGATGGTTGATTTTCCGTTTCTTATTGGTTCTCATTTGCCATTATGAAATTTTATGCCTTTGAATATATAACTGATGACCAATGAGAAGGTATGTGAAAGATATTATAACTAAATAATGATCAAAAAAGAATCGTGCAAGGTTTTGTTAGATTCGGGCATTGCAGAGGCTATCCAACTACATACCCACGATGAGACAGGACTATTAGGGTCCTTTCTTTGATGCATAACATGCACTATAGAGAGAAAAAGGAGAGAAAAACGAATACTGAAGAAGGGATATCTGTTATTTATAGCATGGGAGACCGCCACGAAATGAGAAATTTCAATCATCATATTTAAATTCGTCTCATAATGAAAGGAATTATTGCGATGAAATATTCCACATTAATAATGCGGAGGCAAACTTCCAGATTTGGATTCAATTAGGAATTCATTCTCAATCCATTCTTGATTCTAGTAAAACCTCATTAAACTAGAATATGCCAAATATTTGCTTTAAATTTGTGATGCAAAATTAATAAAAGTATTGGAATTTCTGAAACAGATCAAATTAAGGAGAGCCTAATGTCAAAGGCGAGGCTGATGAAGAAATACAGAAAATTGTTGCAAGCCAACGCAATACAGTTGGGTCCAACAGGATGAATGATGCTGGAGGAAAAGATGATGATGGCAAAAGTGAGCCTGGTACAGGTGGATCTTAAGTATTTCAAGAGAAAAATGTTTATATATTTCAAGAGCGTCTTATATGTGTGTTATGTCTTCTGTATTTGGTTATTTGGTTGTTATGGCCAATATATATAGGAGCAAAGCAAGGTGCTTTAAATGATGAACTAGTTGCTAGGCTCGACCAAAGAACAAGGGGAAAGAGTACAAGCAGTGGTTCCAAACTACATGCTATTGGAGGAAAAGACTCAAGTAGAAAAAGTCAACCTGGAACAGGCTGATGGGATCATGACTAACGAGATTGAGCATATGGAAAGAAAAAGGAAAGCGAAGAACAATGAAAGACATTGAAGATTTGATGGAAAGTTTTGAATGATTGAAGATATTTTAATTGTCAGTTTAATTATGAATATTTTGTTTTAATTATCATAATATTTGAATTATTGTTGTCTTTCATCCTCATTTATTTTTATCTTTACATTTAATTTTAGAATTTTTAGAGTATTCTTGTTTTTAATTCTATAGTTAGGTTAAGGCACATAAATAACGTCTTAACTCATTCGCTTTTTCACGTCTTTACTACGAAAAAAAATGACTTTTGACAGTGATTTTTAACGGTGACCAAAAAAGTTAATTGAAAATAAATACCTTAAATATATAAAGTTAAGTATATAATTTTTTCCTTTAAAATGATTCATTTGGCAACCAGGGTTAATTCTAACTACGTACTTGATTAAATAAAGACATAAATAGATGTGCCTTTGTCCACTTGTATTAATTATTATAATATGGTCCATCCTTGATGCATTAGACCATTTAAGCAAAAGTCTAGGTCCAATAATTATTAATTAAAGTTAGATAATTTTTTTTTAAATAATTTAGAGTGTTTGCATGAAAGTAATTGTTAGAGCAGTTATATATATATATATTGAAAATTATGTAACCACTACCAATCCAGAGAGATATATATGTGTGCGTGTGTGAATTGGCTGGTTCAATTTTTGAATTGTATGTTCAGACCCTTCCCTCTGCTGTTCTCTCCCTCTTTCTTTTTCAGAAAATATTATATATCCATTGTAAAATTTATAATATCCTAGATTCATCGCAGTAATAATCCAGGATTCATGTGTGATAGAAGAAAAGTTTTATCATCACCGGAAGTATGTTTTTTGGACTTCAGATTCCTACATGTAAGAACGCATGGGCATGGAAGATTGGCATGAAGGGTTGAACTTTTAGACTTGACTAAGAAACAGTTCAAGTAATGAATATTATATATATATCTCACATGCCCAACACACACATGTTGTGTGCGGTCCACATGAATTAGACTTTTTCACCTAAATTCTAGTTCAAACAATTAGATATGCGCAAACCGCAAGAGTATTGTTAAAAATGGATTTTGCATTATGTCAAAAGAGGAGAAAAGGGTCTCCAATGGAGCTGCAACTTGAGATAGAATCTTGTTATGAGATGACAAAAGTAATTAGATTAAAGAATTTTTCAAACACCTTGGCTATCAATCCAACACCATAGCAGAACTATTTGGCATTTTAGAAGGACTTCAGCTTTGTTGAAATGCACGATTCACTAAAATTAATATATATTCTGATTTGATAGAAGCTCTCTTATTTATTCAACATAATTTCTTTGACAATCATCCACTCTTAGAAATTATCAATAAAATCAAATATTTTGTCATAAAAAATTGGATCATTACCATCGATCACATATTCAAGAAAGCAAGCAAATGCACTGACTTGCTTGCTCACCAAGCCTTTCACATCATTCACCTTTAAAATGTAGATCTCGCATAAAATCTGACATAACTTGATTTATGTTTATATTTTGCATAGGTTCCATGGTCTTGTATTAAAATAAAACAACAAGAGAAAAGGGATGTCACATCAAATGAATAGTGGATCTAAGGAGGGACAGTGGGGACGATTCATTCGAATGGATTAATATAATTATTGGTTGACAAAAAAAAAAAGTGTGTCAATGTAAATTTTGGTTTTGGAACTTGTTACCTGTCACTTGTTAATGCGTTGACTCAAAGTTCTCAATATCCCATTGTAAAAATCTGAACATCTACTTTTTTACTCGATACTCGTGCAGCAAATATAAAGACATTCTTGAATCCATCCTATACATTCAAATGTAAGCAGAGATTCTCTTATTTTGCTACTTTTTACATTTCAACTTCTATTCACATTCCACGATCTTCACTTTCACTGAGTTTCTACTCAAAATGAAGTCATGGGAGCAAAACTTTCATCAGACAAGTTAGCTTTCATTTCCTAACTGACTTTATTTTCTTTTTGTCTCCCTTTGTCTCTCCAATCATTTTCTGCTGATTTTCATTTTTTGTTATGATAGATTCGAAGAAGCAGTACTAGAACGTATAAATGCAATATAATCAAATCTATGCAATCCTATATGATATTTTTTAGAAATAGATAATCGAACGGATGCGTACATGAATCCATTGACTTAATTTGATATTTGAATTTGTAAACAGGCGTGTTTTGTGGATTGTTACCAGAAAGAATTTCCAAATATTTCCTAGAAGGGGAATAGAGAACATTCCAACTGACTGGCCAAACTAGTAACCACAACTTCTATTTAAAAACTAAAATTTGCAATATTTATTATTTGGCCCAGCCCCCAAAAATTAATTATAAATATCACTCTGGTTTTTACACATTAATTCCATAACATTTATACCCTTAAGACTTAAAGCATTGATTTGAACATAGGGAGACTTTCATTAAAGTCCCACGCAAAGAAATTAATTACTAAAAATTTCATTAACAATTGAACTAAACTACTTTGAGAACACAATCAATTGTCAATGTAGTTTAATTCAATTGTCAATGAAATTTGTAGTAATTAATTTTCTTGTATAGAAACTAGTTGCAATTCTCCCTTGAACATATCATTTCATTTAGGATAAATGAAATAATGGCCACACATTTTTAATATTTTCATATTTGGCCCCATATGTTGAATTTTATTTCAACGTGTTTATAGTTTAATTACTAGCTTGACAGTTGCTTTTGATTATTGATTTACTCTTTCTTACGGTCATTTGCCATTATGTAAATTTTATGCCTTTGATTATAATTGATGACAATGAAGGTATGCATGTAGATTATTTGTGATGCAAAATTAATAAAAGTATTGGAGTTTACTAAAACAGATCAAATACTGGGAGAAAGCTTAATGTTGGGTCCAACAGGACGAATGATGTTGGAGAAAAAGGCAAAGGTAGCTCAAGTGTTATTGGTACAGGTGGATCCGACCCGAAGGCTAATGGAGCACTATACCAAGGTCCATATCACTTGCAAATGGCTTCAACCTGATGAATGTTTCTAAGCTTTAATAAGTTTTAAAATAGTTTCCAAGATTAAAATGATATACTTATATTATAGACTAATGAGATTTAGCATACCTAAATTCTTTTTTATCAATGTTATCCAAAAAGGGTAAAATGTTATATAATTCAAGAGCAAGGTTAAGTTTAAGAGTCACTTTTACCCTTGAACTTTTCCTTTAGAGTGTACGGGTACCCTGAGCTTCACATTGAGTCAGTTTTGTATCTATACATTTGAAGTGTGCTGCTTGATCATCAACCCACCGTTAATGTGCCATAACTTTCATTTTCTGGTGAAGTGGTTCCCATCATTTTTCATGTTTTTAATAATAAATATTGGATTAATGATCATACTTGTCCCTAAACTTTTCCATCAGAATCTGCAGGTATCCTTAACCCTTACCCTTGGAGAGCACTTCACTTTGTCTTATGTGTGTTGCATCTTCTGTATTTGGCTATTTAATTTAGTTGTCATGTCCTTTGGAATTTGGACTTGCTTTAGTTTGAATTACGTAACAGTTTCATAATAGAGGATGTCGGAGAAAAGTATTAAAGAGGCACAAGTCAACTAGGTCATGCAGCTGCTGAGTGAAACCTAAAGGGTAACACAGAAATTGGCAAAGGCTTCATAGTACATGCTATTGGAGGAATTGACCCAAGTGCCAAAAGTCAACCTGGTACTGGTGGGTCCCCCCTGCAAGCAAATGGAGCAGCAACATAATCAATTTCCAAGCTTTAAATAATGATACTCACAGAATAAAGAGTTTTATCATAGCTATATTTTTTGATGCTGTTAACTAGGGCAAAATATTGTATTTCCAGAGCAAGTGTTATGTCTTTGGGTTTGGTTGTGATGTCGTGTGGAATTTGAACTTGTTTTCAAATTCATTCGTTAAATAAAAAAGTTAAGTTTGTTTGTATTCATTGAAGAGGTTTTTTTTCTTTTTTTACTATACTTAATTTTCAAAATGGAGGTGGAGGTGAAGAAGACGAAGACTAAGAAAAAAATTATGGTGGTGTTTGATAATCCTAATCTATATATTCACCAACTTTTTGATTGTTTGTGTTAAGTTTAATACTTTCCTATTTCAAGTAGGCATATTTTTTTTTTTGGCCAAAAATATATATTTAGTCTATGCGCGTGATTTGATGAAGATTGATTCTTAATGACATAAGTTACAAACTAAAGGATGGTAAGAAAATAAATAAACAGGTGTATTTTGTAAATTGGTGTTTAAAAAAAAAGGAATTGGGGATCAATTTATAAAAATTAATTTTCATTCATTTTAAATTAATTTTTAAATATTTAAATATTATACCTTGAAACAAAAATTTACAAAAATTATAAAAAATTTAATATTAAATCTGGAATTTTTATGAATTTATGAAAATTATAAAATTATAATATTCAATTAAATTATCTAGATTCTATATGTATTGTCCAGAATAGATCCGAATAATTAATTTTTAAAAATTTTTAAAAAAATTATTAAAATTGGACTAACCAAATTGATGATGAGTAGATTTATTCAAAAAATTTATATTTTTTTTATTTTTTTTATAAATATAAAACAAAAATAAAAAGTTTGAATCTAAACTGTTAAGATTTCATCATGGGTGATGAGTGCCATGGTGCTTATCCTTTAATGAGTACCATTGATAATCTAGGTTTAATATTGAATATAATTTTTATAAACTTTTTATTTTCACAAATATAATATTAAAATATTTAAAAATTAGTTTAAAATAAACGGTGAATATCATTTCAAGATGAAATGAAGAGTCAGGATGACCAATGGAAATAATGAGCACCACGCGTATCCATCTTTGAAGGGAATTTTGTAATGTCTCCTGATTTCATCACATTTAAACCCACTCTACCATATCGTTAGAAGATAACCAATTATAGGTAAATGTAATTATAG